ATCAATTTACTTGTATATACAAATTTATTTATATTTATATTCATATGTGGGCAATCCCACGTCAAATCGCGCATTTTTCAAGTTATTCTTCCAGGTTCCCTTTTTGTTCATGCTCTGTAAGCTTGTAGAGATTCGTACCGGTTACGGAACCAAAAGAAACTATTTTCAGGAACGATTCAACAAAAAAGTCAGCTCGATCCAAAGTGCAAGCACAACTTTCGCTGAACATGGTCATCTTTATGGAATTATGATTTTGTTAATTCACAACTATTTTAAAAAATTTGTTTTTTTTGAAAGTTTTTACCTTGTGAACTTAGAAAGAAGACGAAATAAGTATACAAAAAGTATAAAAGACCAGAATACAACCAGCAGATGATTAGAAGATAAGCTTAAATACAAAAATTTATCACGTCGTTTACAAAAGATAGACACTCTATATTTTTGAAAAATATATAGCTTTGAAAACATGATTTTTGTTAGACTGTTTGAAATTGTTAGATGGTATCTTTTTTGCATGATGAGTTACAATGGGATTAGTGCGACGAGGTTACAAAAACTCTTCACTTGACGTCTAAAAGTGGCGGTGCCTTCGTTTTAATTGACCTGTCGTGGTACTGTAACAAGTTTCGCTCCAGCTGACTTCATAGCAGACGTCTAACCAAAAACTTTTTTCTTGGCGGTTAATTTAAAAGAAGTCTAAAAAAATTTGCGTTTACGGTGCTTTGTTTCTTTGCCAGACTTATACTCAGACGTTTAGCACTTTGTGATGGTTACCAACAGCGGATGTTGTTTCACTATAACTCCTTAGATTTTTATTTGCTTCAGACGGGGACTTCTGTGCTAAATCAGTCACGCTTGCGGCATCGTAACACTTGGTAACATAAAGATGCCACATTATAGTTGTAACCAGTTTTGGAAAAATTATATTTTCAAAAATTTAAAGCGTCAGTTTCTTGTAAACAAAATCTAAAATTTTTGTTTTTACGCTTATCTTTCAATAATTTGTTCTTTTCATTTTGATCTTCTACGAAATTTGTCACTATATTCATTTCACCGCTTTTTTGAGTCGACGACGGGCGAATGTTCAAGGAAAGTAATAATTTTAAAAGCTGGTTTTGAGTAAAAAGACTTGTAAATTTCCAAGGATGGCCACATTCAGTAAAAATTTTTATTTATTTGTTGTTTTTGCACTTTGGGACGGTCCAAATTTGCTGCCAGATCGCATTTGAAAGTAGCCTCTTTTGGTTTTTTGGTCGTGTATCAATTCCTACAAGCTGTTAGAGCTCGAATAAACGAAAGTTTGACTTGAAATGTGTACAGTTTATTTATTTATGAAATGTATTGAGGTCAATGCAAAAAAAAAATGATTTTTCATATCGATTTTTAATAATAATTAAGAAAGTTAAGCAGTAGAAAGGTTTTCAGTTTCTTAAAATTACAAGTGAAGAATGTATTCCAATCAAACGTTATGGTATGCCAGAAGATATAGCAAATATGATAACATTTTTATGTGATAACGAAATGGCTGGTTTTATCACCGGTCAAACCATAGCTGTTGATGGTGGTTCGACGCTGACAAATGCCGGGTATAACAATCCACGTCTGGCACAAGTTATGAAGCAGTGAAACTGATAATGCTAAAAGTTGTTTTAAAACTTTTTGTAGTTGTTAACAAAGCAGCTTTCGCACTTCTGACACTGATGCATTGCAGTGTGGTAACAAATTTGGCTTTTCCCCCCAAAAAACATTAATAGTTTAAAACAATTTTTTCGCCGTATTTTCTGCATTTCATAGGTGACTGTTAACTTAAAGCAGTAATCACAGATAAATAAGAACTATTTGCGCAATGAAGTTTTTTCTCTAATACCGTATTTACAATTACTGAAATCATCCTGTAATGTGTTACACTTAATATTTCAGACTTTTGTCTAACCGTCTGAAACCTTGTTTATTAGACAAGGAGCAGTCACAGAAAGAAAAGAAAAAGTTTACTATCTAAAATCGGTCTCTTTTTAATTAAGCAGATCTTTCCAGCCTTGATGTTTCAGATATACCCCTTTTCTTGGGTGTTTTGACCTACTACCAGCTTCTTAAATTTAAAGAAGATATTACTATTTGAAAGAGTGGAATTGAATTGGAAGCAAGAACTTATTGACGTTAAACTTTTATGCCATGAAAATGTACGGCAAAGCGGTACCGCTTTTCGTTGAGTTACTCAAAAACTACACTGAAGAGAAGTTTGCTTGGGACAAGAGCAAATTTAAAAATGGAATAATGGTTTAATAGAGTGCTGCAGTGTGATCATGCTTTAAAATCACACTGTTCATCATGTTACCCGTGTCTCTGTAAGAAGAAATTAAAAGAGTCCAACCTCGACTCAACTATAAGAGGAGGTTTTTGTATCTCAAGTCTGTGAGCTGGTCTTTTGTTTATAGCACTCATCGTTGCCATCAGATTTTTTGGTATTTTTACTATAGAGTCATTATCAATTCCACAGCGACCCTTTGGCAACATCGCATACCTATTTTTTGTTTGTAGTGATTACCAATTCCCTCTTTTCTTTCACTATTTACTTATTGCGTGTTCCATTATATTTTCTGTGTCTTCTTTGTACCCATCAAAGATATTGTTGGAGAAGGATGTAAAAGTGGCGAGCAGGGTAATACTCGTACTCACGCGGGAAAACCCCAGTGTATTAGCGAGAGAGAATAGTTACTACGTGTGTTTGCAAATCCTAGCAAGGCATAGCATCTTTCTGGAAGTTAAAGAGTTAAATTGTAAGTAGGTCAACTTTTAAAAGAAATATATTTAATTTAATTATTATTCAATTAATTAGTGAGTTCACTGTGCGTTCTGTGATAATTGATAAGACAAGAAGAAGAATTCAAAAATATTGTGGAGATGACGCTAAGGTGATGGATAAGAAGAAGTGTTTCTCTGGTATGACCCATAAGGAAAAAATGGGATGTTAAAAACTGCGCGACAAAGCCATCGCCAGCAGCCTTTTTAGTGTCAATGAGATCAGCGCAGCAACGAATTTTTGTAGTTAAAGTCGAGCAATGAAAAATACATAGGTTATCAGGACTTTAGAGAAAATGTGAGCGAGCGAGGGAAATAGCACAAAGGGGTTTGTCGCGTTAAGCGAACACTCTCAGGCTGGAGAGGTGGAAGCGACGGATCGGGAGCATTTCCCCAATCTGGGGAGACGGGAGAAGATGAAGGCAAACCTGTCAAGTTTGCGGGGAAAGAACTGCTAATTCTATGAAGACACCTATTGTGGAGAAAGAGCCGGCGGGTTGGATCAGCGCTAGATGTAAACCCTACCCAGCACCGGATAACTATATAGCCAGAAGAAGGGATCGCTGGAGGAATGATTCAAGTCTAACTGCTTATTTTTATGATTAACTGTATTTACTTTATGGTGTTTTAGCGTGATTTTGTTTTAAATATAACCCTCTGTTAGATTGTTTTGTTTTATGATTTTGATTTTATGATTTAATTACCCA